TATATGAGATTGTATCTCATTATGATTCCCCTGAATTAAATATGAGAAATCAGTTATTACATAGCATAAATATAAATGGGCAAAATTATAATCCTGACATAGCTGAATCATAGTTAAGAAATAGTAAAGGCATAATTATGAAATGTTTAGTCATAACATATGAGTCATATTTATGAGTAGTAGGGGTTTACCTACACCTCTTATAACAAAGTTATAAGGATAATTTGTTTAGCTAGGATCTTTTATTTTGGGTAAACATTCCTCCAGTGCAAACATGAATGGACACAAAAAGTGACCGTCAGTCAGTGAATGTTGATTTGATCCAAATGGAAAAAAAACATGTAAAATCTCTCTAAAAGTACAACTTTTGAAATTGTTATGTCTGCACAGTCATAATATTGACTTGGTTAAATTATGTTTGAGATAGTTGAGTCATGATGAGTTGAGTCATGATGAGTTGAGTAAGTTATAAATTATCATATTGGGATTCATAAATCAAAATATGAGGCGCTAAATCTTGGGAGTGTAGTTTGACGAGACTGAGGAGTCAAAGTTGTGAAACACTAAGGCATATTAATGATATTAAGTCAAAGTACAAGTCGWGTAAATGTGAAAATCCAAATTATAAGACGAGTCACAGTTTTGACTTAAAAGTGCAAAAAGTTTAGACTAATATGTGGAGCAGAAAATGCTCTAGTTGTTCAAACTGGAGGATTCTGCTTCTTCAATAAACCTAATTAGCCTGTTTATCCTTCCCGCTGCGAACAAAGAGACAAGAACCAAGAATTTTACAAGATTTGATTTATTAACTATGATACAGATCATCACATAAGGCCTTGCTGTTTACACCGCTCCCACTGAGACAAAATTACCACACTCAGCAAATAGACAGTTTCCATTTATCTTTTCACTTTACAGTACTTCATTTATTTTGTTTTTAATCATTTTCACCACCCCATCCCCCGTCCCCTCCCATTATTTCTTATATTTATTTAGTTTATTTTGTATCATCTCTTAAATAGTGAGAGTGTCGGAGCCCCTCTTCCTCCTCCACTGAAATCATGCACTACACTGGGCCGGTCTCTCAATCATTCACAAAAGAAACCACTTTAAACAAATGCTTCATAATTCTTTAATTTTTAAAAACAAAACAAAATATTTTTTTCCTTCTATCATTCTTGACTACGGGGCGAAGCCMGCCCGATGAGAAACKAACATTAGAATATAGTTTGAGTTGTTTCTCTGGGTAACAAACATCTGTCACCAATGTTGGGGAGAGGAAGAAGAGAAAAAGTGATGCAGCCATGTTTCATCTCAGAACCAAAGTCACAAATGTACTGTTCATTTAAACTGCCCCCCCCCAGTCTTTGGCTGCCTCACAGTCACTTCACTATTAACACATTAATATACAAAAGGGAACGCCACCGGCCGGCGTTCTCACACAAGTACCAGTGGTCTCCCAAATAATGATCCCCATTCACCCGTACGCTGTCCATCCTCACCCCCTCCCTCCCTCTGACTCTGTCCCCCCCACGGCCTCTCTCACACTCCCTCTGAGGATCAGGGGGTGTAATCCGAATGAGCCAGCGGCGGGGTAAATGACCGCAAGAAGAACTGCATTCCTCCCCGTTCACGTTTGTTTGGACCCTGCTGGTGTCTGGACATCTGCCAAGCACAGCCTGCTAGCATGTTAGCTTAAACCAAACACACACACACACACACACAAAAAATGACTACCCTGGGTTGATAAAGTCTCCGCCTGTGGTTGGCTGAAAGTTGTTTTTTTTTTTTTTTTTGTTCTCCTCGCTTCGACACACATGCAGGAAACACACGAACCTTCTGCTCCAGCCGCATCTTTGCCAGTTACTACGGCAACAGCAGGCTCCATCGAAGAATTTCGCCATGTTTCCATTCCGGTCATGCGTGCGGGCCAGGCGGATGAACGAATGAACGAGTGATGGAATGAATGGGCGATCTGTCCTCTCTCTCTCTTTCTCTCAGGGTCGAGCTGAGAAGGACTCGGCGGGACAACGGGGACAGTGAGGTGGAGTCTGATGTGAAGWGGTCACACCTGGTCGAGGACGACGTCAGAAAACTGGAGCTCTGGTTTGTCCGTCCCARCTGCCGAAGCCCCTCATTTCTAAAGAAAACGAGCTCCTTTACTGAGGTCTGAGTCCACAATGAGCTGAGGCCAGATGCTTTGCAGGGACACCTTTATCTCTATTTGCTCATTATTATATCTAAACTGACAGATGTCATTTCATTTAAATCCACCTAATGCACAGTAATGATCAAGCTCGACAATTAAGAGAGTCTGATGCTACAAAAACCACAGGGGAACAGTGCTACACCCATGCAGTTGTGGAGGTGATACCTCTGTCTTCCACTAGATGTCAGTGYTGCGCTCCCACAGAGAGAAAATAAGGACTGACAGGACAAAGTGTTTGTCACTTTAAGCCAGCTCCAATTGAAAGTGTGCCTTCAAAAGTGCTCAGAAA